TACATGCCCTGTGCACGCACGCAGTACGATGTCCCCTCACCTCAGGGAAGCAGCGCAGCGGGTCCCTAAAAATACAGCTCTTCAGCACCAGCAGTTTACAGAAACACCTCACTCCTGCAGCTTCCCCGGAATCCAGTAAAATCAGAAGCACCCAAAAATTAAAGGAGAAAGTGGCTGGAGTGGATAGAGAGAGTTGTAAACTTTTAGAAGATTGTTTTTCAAAATTATTCTCATAAGTTTACACTAGGCATAGATTAAGGTACTTGGCATGGAGACAGTGGTTGCTCTTCTTTACAGGTATCGATGATTCATTTAGTGTCTTTCCAAATTTGGTAAATGTACGTTTAGGGATTTTACATATCTATCTTTAGCCAGCGTGAATTGGCTGTTGACTTCCTCAATTTAATGAGGATCTATCTACCTGCGAGTGCTTGAAGCAGAGTGACAAGTCAAACAGAACAAAGTGTTCTCGTGGGCTAATAGGAGTCACTTAAAAATATTTGATTTGCCATTAGCTGGAAGCTCTGAACTCCCACTACACAGGTGGCGAAGGACCGCAACATGAAAGATAAGATAAAAATGAGATGTCAGGAAAATTTCCTTGAGAGAGTGAATTGCAAAGTGTAAAGCAGGATCATGGCTTTGTCCTGCTTTAAGAGTTCAACATCTTGGCTTGTTGAGTTCTTGTGAAGAAGATACCAGTGCCTGTCAAACTGCTTGCAAACAAAAGCTTAAGTTGTTTTGGGATGCTTGAATGTTTTTTTTTTTATAATTCTGTGGATAAGTTTCACCGAAATATCATGTACAAGTTTTTTATGCTAACTTTTTCAGTTCCTTAAAACTTCTCGTTTTACAAGGTAGATGCAAAAACAAAAATAGTAACTTACTTGTAAATACATTGGTAGATCTGTCATTGTACTCTGCAAGCACATAAAAAAAAATTCAGGCCCATCCTTAAGTGACTTTCAGGTAGCTTGCTTCCGTCCAGTTCTGTCAGTTTTCATTTCCATATAGGAATTGTTGCCTCTTCACTTTGAGTGAGTTATGTTTCCCAACAGAGCGAGGAGCGGAGCAGTCTCCTGGTGTTTGTTATCGCTCCGTTACAGATAGCCGTAGTGCCTGTTTGAGCACAGGTCTCGTCAGGTTTCCGAGCAGCTAGGAGAAGCCAGTGACAAGTCCTGCTGCCCAGTAGTTTCTGAAGAGCAGAACTGAAGCTGGCAGGAGTGTTCCTACCTCTTTACTGCTGCGGTCAGATAAATGAGAAAAGAAAATCAAAGCAATCTTTGCGTACGTTATCTTTGACACCAAGGAGGTCTAGAAACTAAAGAAGCAGAGGATGGAGTTTTGCATCGTGTTATCAGTTTTCCCAATCACTATTCACCCCGGAAAGTTTTTCATTTACAACTTACAAACGGGTGAGGTGTGCGTGTCGTATGTTTAATTCCAAGCACCTTTGCACCTCCCGTCTTTGTAAACAAAGTTCCCTTTATTTACCATGCTAAAAGATATCACAGTTAAGGATGCAGCTACTGTCAAATACAGCATTTCGGCCTAATAATTTCTTCTAATCCTAGTTGCAAATGCACTAGCTAAAATTCCTGCTGTCTTTGTAGTGTCTCGCAATTTATGAGCACGTGGAGTGCATAATTTAAATTACACGTACTCCCTGCAAGTGAGAATGAAAAATCCTTTTTTAAATTTTTTGTTGTGGGGTACTGCTTTCAGTCTGACGTTTCAGTCAATGCAGGAATTAATTAATGCACTAGTTTGTAAAATTTAGGCAAAGCAGTATATTCTCTGCATTCTCCTGGATGGGGCAGCCTTGGAAATCTATATTCTTTAAAGGGGGTGTGCTAAGACAGTGGTCATTCATAAGTTAGTTTGTCTCTAGTGACAATTTATGGGGGAATTTAGGCTATCTAAACAGGCATAATGTAATTGAAATGTTAGACAGGTAGAGTATCTGCTGTACTTTACCTTTTCTGAAATGTACTTGCATCATCTGAAGACAGGAATTTAAATAGTTCAGGAGTCATGCTGGAGTATGGCTGCTTGAAAACCACAGCGTCTTGGAATTTTTTCAGCTGATGATTCTTACAGACTGGTTTTGCCATTTTAAAAATAGCTGTGTATGTTGTTATGGTTTATGATCTCTTGAGTATATATTATTAAATAAAAATAATCAGTTTTCTATTGGTATGCCTACTCCTTATTCATGTTTATGAAATGAAATTTCACATCCTATCTTGAGTATTCTAGACCTAATGGTGTTCACTTAGTTGAATCAATTTAGAATTACAGTGGAAAATGACTCAGTGAATAGTTTCTTTTTTCATTTATGGTTTATGGAGATTTTCTTTCCTTTCCTTTCCTTTTTTTTTTTTTCTTCTAATTTTTAGCAGTGAAACTTTGCTTTCACTTCCATGTATTTTCTTGGGATTTCACTTCCTAACATTTATGTTTTAATTGATTTTTTTTTTAATGTTTTTGATCCTCTATAAAAATTGTAGCTGAAAAATTTACTAGAAGAGCAATGACCCAGAAATGTGCAGCTGGAGTGCAGCTATCTGGGGAAGTAATCTTGATAAAAAGTGAATTTTAGAGATATCATCATGCAGTCTTAGCGCCTTTCCAGATGGCCTTGTGATTTCCATTTTTGCTTCCAAATGAACCTAATATATTTTGAAGGTGTACCCTAGGATATTACGCAGTCTCAAAAAAATGGCAAAGGCACCAGAAATTTGCACATTCATTTAGAGCCAAGTTTGTAGGTACTTATAACGAGAAGTTACCCTTCTTTACTCTCCTCAGCTTCAATTTTTTTCTTGTTTCTGTATTTTACCATGTTTTATTTATTCGCTTAAAGCTTGATGCTGTGATTCCTAATTAATTGTCTTGTCTTGCACACCTTGCAAGACTGTACCTGCTTGGCAGTTTACATCCTTATACGTAAATCTCTCATAAATCAGCAGTGTGTGCGTAGCTATCTATAGCTATAATGACGTGCATGCATGCAAATAGCTTCTCAAAAATCTTCCCTATTAAGAAAGTGTTTGTGAAGATCACAAAGGCCTTCAAAACCGTTTTGTTTCTCTTGCTCTCTGTTTGCCCTACCAGTTGCATAGAGTTTTTCTCTTGAAAGCAATTAACCTGTGCTGCTTCTTATGTCAGGTTGCTGTCCTATATAAGGTAAATGTATGAAAACATAACCAGGCCCTACAGGTTCGTTTTCCCATGCTAATATTTACTTTAGATGTTATCTCTGTTATAGGGCCTTCACACAAGCCAAACGGATTTTAGAAAAGAAAGTGGAAAAGGCCATTCCACACTCTTTATTCAAAAGGTGACTCCTTTGTGTGTTCCAAGTGAAACTGGGACGCGAATTTGGGTACAAGCATTAGATTGCAAACACTTGTGGTGATTTCTCTGTTTGTTTTCACAGTACCTGGAACTTCAGTTGAGAGTGTCTCCTTCTGTACTTTCTTTTCTACTACTAAATGCGGTAGCAAAATGCTGTATCAAAATATTATTTTTGTTTTAAATTTGTGACTGATCAAATTACAGTTGTAGCGCAGTTAGATTACCCGGTTTTATTAGTAGCACATTTTCCATTCATCTTTGTTTATGATGACTCTGCACAAGTGTCCTTATCCATTATATTATCTAATTAAACACTAATGTGTTGTGAATATTTTTCCATATGGTTCACGTTTGTTTCCTTCTGTAACTTACACTCTGTTTCTGATTTAGCTCTACTCCCCACCCCTCTTGCAGTTTGCTGTCTCGCAGTTTTGTGCGATGGCTCATTTGGCTCTCGTTTGGAATTATTTTCTTCATTATGATATCTGTACAGCTGGCTCGCTCAGCTCTTTAAATCCCAACTTAAAATGCATTTCTGAGTTATTCTATCGCATAGTCTTCCCATTTATATATACACATATATATATTTATTGTCAGAAAACATTCTAAAGTTGGATGCCATTCATTTGTTATGTCTTGTTTGTCACTTATTTATTTTTTTTCCCCCTGCAAAGTGCATAATACTTCTGCAGGAAATGTTTGTCAATACATAAAGGAAAGCTGTTGTTTTGGAACTGTAACAGTTTTGAAGCTTGCAGTGTGTATTCTGCATATACAGAATCAACGTAAAGAAAAAAAAAAAAGAATAAATTAATTCTACCAAGTCAAACAAATAAATCCAAATAGAAGTCTAGCTTTGCTTAAGAACTCTCAACAAATCATTGCTCAATACCATATGAAGAAACACAGATATATTCTAATAGATATGAGTTGAAGCATTGGTGAACTCAGCATGGTAAGTCTAATTCTTGTATTTGGCAATGTAAGGGTCTGTCTGGTAGATACAAACATATGGTATTAAAGAGGACAAGAACATAACTGGAAGTCAAATGCTTAGAGCAAATTCGTTGGCACTACAGAGCTGTGTAAAATTTGGTATAGTTACAACTGAGTTTGGTGTACTGGAGCAGGGAGCAGCATTTCAGCACACAAATAATCACGTGTCGATAAAGCAGTCATAATTCTCACATAAGGTTATGCATATCAGGAATTTTTGATTGCAAGGAAAAACTAGTTCAGATCCTTCCAAATAATTATAGTTCTTTTTTTCCTCACCTAGCCTAAAAAGATTTTATATGGGATCAAATTGAAAATGTCTTTCTAACCCAAGCATTAAAAGCTTAGATTAGAGCATTTGCTACAAGCAAAGCAGGTGGTCCTGGGGTTTCCAAGAACCCAATGATTTTAAAATTCCATTTATCAAGTTCCCTCTTCTTATTGGGAAGGTTTGGACTGAGATTTCTGTGGTGGGCAGATATCCCTCTATATTCCTCTATATGCCTCATATGGGCTTTAGATATTCTGAAGAACTTTCATTTTCTCTTATGGATGCAGTCTAACTGTGTAAGTAAAGGACAAGAACTGTTTAATCTCAAGAAAAGTATTTTGAAATACCCTCTACTTCTCTCACCACTTAGGTATTTTTTTCAGCCACTAGGCTATAAAATAACCTTTCTCTGGTTCAACGACTATTTTATTTTATAGAAAACATAACATTCACTGGTACCCCTGAACTGTTGTCTTTAGGGAGGTGAATTAGCTTGTGAATGATGGTGATTTACATTTCTTTGATGAGAGGATAGAATTGAACCTTGGTTTCTGGTAGCCTGGAGGGACTTAACGACTACTGGGCTTTCATATTAAAGATTAATTATGCCCAACATTTCACACATGCAAGGTAAGTAATGAAGGTCTCAGATTAGTTCCTGCAGAGGAGACAGGGAGGGAAAAAGCCTTGCATGAAGATCTGCAGGTGGATAGGTAGGGTGACGAGGTAGGCAGCTGAAGGGATGACCAGAAGCATATCTTCACATGTGTGGGGAGTTTAACTGAAAAATCATGAGTAACTGGGATTGTCCAGAAGCTGAAAGGAGACGTTCTGGAGAGAGTCCAACGAAGAGCCACAAAAATGGTGAAGGGACTGGAGCATCTGACAGATGTGGAAAGGCTGAGGGTGCTGGGCCTGCTCAGCCTGGAGAAGAGGTGGTCTGGTGGTGGTCTTAACATCCGTAAATACCCGAAGGGAGGGTGCAAACAGGATGGAGCCAGGCTCTTTTTAGCAGTGCCCAGAGCCAGGACAAGAGGCAATGGGCAAAAAGTGGCCTACGGGAGGCTCTGTCTGAACACCAGAAACACTTCTGCGCTGTGGGGGTGACCTGTGCTGCACAGGTTACCCAGAGAGGCGGTGGAGTCTTCTTGGGGATCTTCAGGAGCCGCCTGGCCATGGCCCTGGGCTCCCTGCTCCTGGTGGCCCTGCGTGAGCAGGGGTTGGGCCTGCTGGGCCCAGAGCTCCCTGTGGCACCAGAGAGCTTTGTTTGCATTTAGACACCTGCAGGATCTTGTCTTTGACCAGTCCTCTGCAAATACAAAAAGCTGTCTGGAGTAATGAGAATTATTTTGTAACTCCTTTTAGGTAATTTTATTTCCATTTAAAAGATCCACTACCCATGTCAGTAGCTGTTGGGAGGCACTCATTGAAGCAGTTGATCTCTTGCAGGTGATGACTAATCCATGTGTAATGATGGTAGTAGGTGATCCTGCGTGGGACTTGCCCACCTTCAGCTGGGATGTCAGACTCGGTGTAGTCACTCCAGGCTGTCTTGGCAGCTGGTGGGCATCCAGGCAGTACAGCCTGAGGCACCCGAGGCCGTGAACCTACCTCACAGGCAGCTGCGCTTCTCTTACCCTTGACATCAGACCAGTCAGTGCGATGGGTTTTCTTGCCGCGAGGCTGCTGAGGTTTATGGAGATGACTTCACCTCTCTGTTGAATGAAATTAGCTCCAACTTCTACTCCTGATTTTGTAGGGTGAAAGTCCTACAGTTTGTTGCCTTGCATGCAGGTGTTGTCATTCTTGCTGAGTGTCTTTAGACACAGTTCCCTGATAAGGCCATGTATCTGTGGATTTTTACATCAAGTACCATGTCACACAATGCCAAAGGCAACAAAAGCATTTGTTTTGCCATCGGGAAAAAAAAAAAAAGTATTTGTAATCCACGGAAACATTAGTAAAACATTATGGCATTCCTAGCACAGAGAGGTTAACTGTGCAAAGCTTCCCCTGCAAAGCTGTGTAATTAAAATGTTGATGTGTGTTCCTACAGCCAGGTGAGCTTGTATTTTGGATTCATCATTGTAGCATCTTGAAGAAGAGGCCAGAAGAAATTTGCTTAATTGTTAATAATGGTACTTCAGTGCCATGCCATTTATTCTAAATAATGACAAGAATTTCATAGATTAATTGCTAATTTTAGGAGTCAGATTAATTGGCAAAGTAAAAAAGCTCTTCACTACAATAGCACTCCAGTGTGAATGCAGGGCTACTGCGCTTTCTTGCTTGCTTAACCTTAGACTGCTTTATCTTTACTTGATGATTGCTTTGTGAAGACTACTCTGCTCCTAAATAGTATTTATAGGTTCTTTGACATTTTTAATCTTAACATTGTTGCTTGCTTAAATGTTAATTCCAGAAGGTCTGAAAATTATGTTTGCAACTACAGTTAATTTCTCCAGTGGAAAAACAACTTGGGCACAACTATTTTTCAGACTCTGTTTCGAGACATTTTAACTACAATGTAGTCTTAATCTGAGTCAGACTGAATTGGTCACATTTTCTCTTTAATGGTGATGCATTACATTAGTTTTACAGCCTCTGAAAATGCATTTAAGGACATATGCATTGCTTGGGTCTCCATTCTCCTCCAACTGATGTGTACTGATATGAATCCTAAACAAGCAATTTTGGTGCTGTTTCCCCAGTCACTTTCCTGCAGCGTCATGATGGATTACCCATTCTATTGACTTGGGCAAGGCTAGAGAATAAAAAGCAAACAGACAGACCTGTCCATTGCTGTGACTCTGTAGAGTTAAATGCCAAATTCAGCAAACAGGCTGTTCTTCACCCACAGAAGAAAATATTGGACAGAGCATCCAGCCAGCCAGGGATCACCAAATGTGCCAGATCAAAACTCATAGCTAAACTGAAATTGAAACGTTTTGTGTAAGTTCAGTTGTGCCTTCTTTTTCTTGCTGCTTGCTGCTGTTCCTCATGTCCTACCACACGAGAGCTTAGACTGCCTTTCCTTCACTAGCTTTTCTCGCATGTCGGGGTATTAAAATATGCAACACAATTTCATATAACCTTTGCAGTGTCTATCTGTTATTGCATAGCATACACTTGTATCCACACACACATACATAAAGCTATTTTTTAAGGATTAGGAAGGTCACAAAGCTATGGCCTAGATTCATGATCCCTTGGTTATACCTGCATCTGCCTGCCCCATCCCTCCTGGGGAGATTACTGCCACCACAGCCGAGGCTGCTGTTCAAATCCCTGTGTTTTAGCAAACTGAAAACAGCAGTAGTACCAGTTAAGAGTACTGTGCTGGACCCGCCACTGCAGACTCAGTCTTCACCCTGTTTCTTTGAAATGGCTGAAGAGGTTTCCAGTTCCAGTTGTATGGCCAATGCTGTTTGCAGCTGCTACAGCTATGTCCAGCATGGATGGCAACATTACAGAACGGGAATATTGATGATTCCCTTTTCAGTCAGAGTTTTAGTTTTGATCCCATTTCGTGTTAATTGTGTTATCCCGTCTCTTTCTGTGCCTTGAGAAGATGTGTTCTCAGTGATTTATACATTTTTTTTTTCCTCCTTATTCTAAATAGCTCCCAAATCCTGACCATGCAGCTTGTGCAAACCTCCACTTTGAAGACAATCTTGGAATTTCCATGGAAGACAGTTGTAGGCAGACCTTTAAGTTTGATTTTAGCTTATTTGACATACAGTATATAGAATGCCATCCATCATGTCTCACACTTTTAGTCCATCAGAGTTGTTTTCCCAAATGCTTTGAGAGACTAGCCAAGATCACAACATGGAAAATTCCTTAACCAAGAAGAGTTTTTGAGGATACATTTGGACTTCTTTGCTCCATCAGCATCTACTCTAATGGTAATCACCAGCTAGATGTATAAATCTGCCCCTCTGTGGGGGGATAAGTAACAGAAAAGCTCCAAATCCTTTTCATTCCACTTTCCTGCTGTGAAGAGATTCAGATTTCTTTAAACCTTTTGCTTTTTTCCATCAGACTCTCAGCACATTCATCAGCAAGCTCTTTCTTTCTCAATTAAAAGAACACTGAAGACACTTAATTTCCCTTTTGCAGTCCTACTTGCATCTAAATCTGCATTTGACATTTCATGCTACGCCCAGTTCCAGCAGATGTAGGCTCTGTATCCTTACAATTAGGTACTGTGTTACGTGATGTCTAATTTTAGGAGATGCCTCCTTGAGCCATATGGCTTTTCCTGTATTTTCCTAGATAGTTTATAAAAGGTAAATGTGCTGTTTCACTACAGAGGTCCATCATTTCCCAGAAGTCATGAGAAAGGTCATTCTCCTTTGAGAGGGTCCACTGCTCCTTGGACTGCAATGTATGGCCAGACTATGGAGAGCACTCACTACCTCCTGACTGTAGATGTGACCTCAAAAAGAAAATATGGGGATTAATTAGTATCAGGCCATTGATCTGAAGCCTGAGGATGTGTTTCATGATGATACGCTGCAGTCATCTTTGTGCCTTTCCTGTTAGAAAATGCCATATGATTTTGGAAACAGCAATCTCCCTTTTTTGACTATGCATTTCAGTGCAAGAGACATCTCTTCTGTTATCTGGCCATCTGGGATCCTTTTATAAGAAAAACATCATTCCAGTATTAGAAGGAATATTTCAACTTGCCAGCTTTAATCAGGACATACTGCAGCGAGATGCAAAGCAGTATCAGCTGAAAGCTGAACTCCCGTGTTAGACACTAAGTGAGTATAACCCTCCTGTCTGGAGCGAGCCAAGGAGTTTGGGAGATCACTGCCTTAGTGGTGTATGCACAAAATAATAAGGAGCTGAGATGTAAGAATAAAGTAAATATAATAATAATAACCCACAAATGTTAAGGTATGTATTAAAATATCTTAATATCTTCAGGGTTAAGGTATATATATGTGGGCGAGTGTCAGGCTTGCCTCTGTGCCTCTCCCATTAGGGATTAGATCACATTCCACCAGGCTAAAGGTAATCTCCTCGTTATCATTTTCCATTATGAAATTTTCAGTGCAGCTCTGCCGAGCTCTAGCCGTGTATTTACTAGACAGAGGCCGTCTGAGCAGTGCTCTGCTGGCGAGCTGCACACCGTCAGTGCTCCTCACCTGGCAGTGGGCTCGGCGATCTGGGCCCCGAGTGGGAATCCACAGAGGGCATCAAGGAAAAGGCGGGGGGGCTACTCCCTGAGAGCTCTGCTTTCCGAAATGGACGCAGGGAGGGTTTTGGCCGGAGCCTCACCTCATTGTGCTGAGTCAAGCCAGCATTAAGTGAATACAAATTCTCCCTTGGGAGTCCCAGCTACGGCTGAGGATCTGAGGAAGTTATAGAAGGAAGCAGGAGGGCGGGAGTGCTTTCAGAGCCTCTTTCTTTGAATATCCAGGAAAAGTAAAAGGAGAGACTCATAACCTGAAGTACCCAAAAACTGCTCTTGCACCCCTATCCAGCTGCCCCATTGATTTCATCTGAAGGATTCCTATTAGAGGAGGAATTTGGGGTGACCTCTTAGTCACTACCAAGTCCCTGCAGAGCTGTGAGTAGCCAGCATCACTGCTGTGTTTCCTGTACACCAAGTCACCAGTGAGTAGCCTCCATTTCTCCCCAATTGATGTACCTGGCATCTGGCTTTTTTTTTCCAGTGCATTTAGCATTTTGTGATATTTTGTGCCATTATGAAAGTGTTTCAGTGCAACCTGTTGAGAGTAATCTGCCTGCAGTTGTCCTTCATTCATCTCAGGGCAGTAAAAAGTGAAAAGCAGTGACTCTCCCCTCTTGGAGTGACACAGCTGAAATAAATCCATCACCCCAAACTGAACCCTAGGCGATGCTGCGAGGAGTCAGCCGTGCAGATGGAAAGAGGGGTGGGTGGAAGCCTGTGTCACGGGCACAGCCTGCAAGGCTGCTCACAAAAAGGCGGAGACAAGCAACCAAAAGCCAACGAGTAGAGGAGGAAAAATGTGCTTTGGGGAGAAAGTCCAGCAATTGAGCTTTGTTGGCAAGGTGCTGGCTAAAACCAGGCTTCAAATGGCAAGCAGTAAAGCTGCCTTCTAGTGTTTAATCCCTGCTAACACTGACAACGTGGGAGCCTCTGTGACACCTCTCTGTTATCCACTTCCAAGCAGGTTGGGGAAATGACCCATTATCGCGCTATTGAGCAGAACAAAGCAGCGAGATCAGGTTGAAAAACCTCCCAAAGCATCAGGCATAGGTAAGGATGCTCCTCAATTAGGAAAAGCCTTGAGGCAAGACAGTGGTCTGTGTCTGGGAGGGAAAGGTTAGTCTTTAAGTCAGGGTTAGTGGCTTCAGTACTCTCGCTTGGTTTGCTTTGCTAAAGCACTGTTATCTACCTAAGTGGCTTAGAGTGAAGTGTGAGAATAGTGAAGCACAGGTAAAGAACAAGAGAATTGCAAACTACTTTAACTCCATCATCCCCATGAGTTTTGGGTAAGAACTTTTGATACACGGCTTTACAAAAAAAAAAAAATAATAAATAAAAAAGTTTACAGAGCTACCGGTAGCATGACATGAGTGAGACACCCCAGAAATTCTCTGAAAATGAGCAGTGTCCTGAATCTGTTGAAGCAAAGCTCCAATAGCTCACGATCGTCATTTTCTGTCACGAGCTGGCTTGCTTTCTGCCATTTTTTACACTTCGTTTTTTGCCCATCCACTTCAGTTATAACTAATCTCCCCTGGGTGGTGATTCCAGCATTGCTGCAGAAACCGTCACAGTGCACATGCCGTAATAAAAATATGACACAACAGGTTATATTTAACAAGGAAAAGAGGAATAGAAAGTGGTACATCTGCACAATGAATATAATAGAGCATTGACTTGGTATTTCCTGACTTCGGCAGTCCCTCCAAAATAAAAATGCATTAATAGAATTACACTTAGCTTTCTGCTTTTAAAAGGAAAATATTTGAAAGCAAAAGCCTTTTCATCTTCCAAGTTCTTCTGGCTCTGCGTGTGAGATAGTGGAAATAACACAGGGCTGTGTAACCACAGCAAACAAGTGGGGTGGGAATTCTGTAACTGCTCGGCTGGCTCAAAGCAGAGCGGCAGTGAAGGAGCAGCCTGGATTTTGGATTTAAGAGGTGGGGTTTCTTTTTTCCCCCTAAACTCCATTCATTTCTATGGATGAAAATAAACGTACTCTGTTGTAGGCAGAACTGGTGGTGACCTATAATTAAGGATGTCTGACATTTCCATTATAAGAGGCAGCTTTTACTTGGCTATAATTTCAGCTGGTGGTTGTTTGAAATTTTAACTGTTTAGGCAGAATTTTCCTTTTCTGGATATCTCTTGCAATCCGAGTGTTGTTTTTTTTGTTTGTTTGTGTTTTTGTTTTTTTTAAGAGGTGCAGTAGAAAAAGAGTAAGAAGTTAGGGATTTTTTTCATCAATATCTATTAAGCACCTAAGCAAAAAGACAACTTTTTACCCATATAGAGAAGCTCAGAACTCCTTGCTTAAAATTTGGCAAAGAAGCCACACACCCATTGGCATGGTTTTTCTTCTTTCTGTAGAAAAACTCAGCTGATACATTGGCACTAAAATTTTGTTCAATTTAAGTACATGGATATGTAAAAAAAAAGCCACCTACTCTGAGCATGCTCCAAAGCAGGGACAGAATTAGCCTGAGGAACATTTGATTGATCCACCAGCAAAAATGCTGAAAGGCAGCAGAAATATGTGCATATTTAACCTCCCAGCAATTTTAACTTTAGTGGGGCTTAGCTGGTGGAATGTGTAAAGTTATTTTGCTTCCCTGTTTTACGAGTAAAATTCCCTAATATAGACAAGATTTCAGAGGTGTAGGCTTCTCTCTCTTATAAATGAACCTGGTCTTTAACATCACTGTAAAAACAAAAATCTGACCTTCTGACTCACCAACTTCTTCCTAGGTGCTTTTCTGGAAGGCATTACCCAGTGCTCTTTGGGTACGGGCATTTTTAACCATGTCAATAAAAATATCTGGGATGTGTAAAGATGATGATATTTTTGGATCTCGGTCAGTGGAGATCAATCATTACCTGCATATGGCTCTATGTCTTAGCTGCATTCTCCACCAACTCTGCTTTTAATACCTAGCCTGTCGCTACCAGACGGGGCTGTCGCTGATGTGCTGCAGCCAAAGGCTCTGGCTCTGGGGCTTCCTCACAGCTCTACCACACTAAAAATCCCCTAAAATCTTCTGATAAAAAAGGTGTAGATCCTATGTTGAGTCTGTTTAAATAACGGCCTTATTATTTTTTACAGGACAAGTGACAACCTTTCTGGATCGGGGCAAAACCATGTCCTTGTGGCCTCTTTGGACCTAGAGAGCTTGGTGGGAGCATGTAGTGATGGCTGCAAGCTGTGAGCATGGCCAGGGATGCCGCAGAACTTCAAAACCTTTTTGAAGCCTATGTTAAAGTTGATGACAGTGCGTATTCGACTGATTTGCAATATGCTGAAATCATCCCTCCTATATAAGATAAAGATGAATAAAAAATATGAAGTAGGACTTTTTTGATGTGCAAGGTTTAACACATTTCTGCAAATTTTTGTTTGTTTGCAGACTAAACATATAATACTCATCTTTGGTAATTAAAAATCACAGAAGCTATGGTGCTTATAAATTCTAGAAGCTAAATGAAGGTTTTTGTCTACCACTCCTGTGTTATCTACCTACTGCACATCCTGTTATTTGGGTTAAAGGGAAAAAAATGTGCTGGCATTATTTCTTCCATCTGTTCCACAACCTCTGATACTGAGCTTCTAAAAAGCTCAAAGCAGACTAAACAGGTCATAGTCAAAACAGCTTGCTTTTCATGCACTCTTAAAATCAGATGTTTTAATGATATCTTTTAGCTTGTTTTCTAATTAGAAAACAGGTTCACAATGTGGTATCTATCTTCTTCCATTTGAATCAATAAACAGAGAAGTCATGAGAAAGGGACCTCTTCCCTTCAGGGAGCCTTTTCTTGTTAATGTTGACTCAGGTTGTTAGTGCTTATTCTTGTCTCCTTTCCTTTTCTGCCTACTTCCCAGTCTTTTCTCTTTCAGTTCCCCCTTGTTTCCCAGATACGCTGCCTTACACGTAGTGAGTATTGAATTTGTCCTGCATATTTACCTGCTGTGGCGTGAGGGCACTTTAGTTTTCAGTCTGCATTGGGCAACGAAGTTTTCTAACCAGGCCGAATGATTCTTTTTAAGCCCACAAAGATTTTGAGCGTGAGTTTCACTGAAAGAGAAAGAAGAGAAACCCTTCAGTTACAAATGATGCATGCTGCACTGTTAAGTAACTTGTAAGATCTTGTGTTAGGAATGATCAGGAAGGATTGCCTCCCACCTGAAAATCGCAGTGTTGTCTGAGAAATCTGTACTTTATGTACTTGTAACTGAATGAAATTGAGATAAGTTACTAACTAGTCACACTTCTCTGGTTTGCTCTCAGCCTTGGGCAGCATAGGCAGTTTTTATAACTTCTCTTTTATGGTTAGTTAAGTCTGATTCCTGCAAGGACTTAACATGTATATTTAACTTTATTTTGGTTAACTGTCCGTGTAAAGACTTTGAGATTTGGCACCCTGATTAGTTTCTTCCTTGCTGAAAAGACCACTGTAAATTTCAATAGGGAAACAGAAAAGTCCCGTATGATTTTTTAAGGAAGCTTTAAAAAGAATAATTTGAGGATGTACTATTTAAAGTGAATTGCATCAGATACTGGGTTATTTTGAAATTAAAAATGTCCAAATAACAGTGCCCTGCTTTTCGTGTCTTTGAGCTTGCTAGCAAATTCAGAAACTATTTGCAAAGGAGCGAATCATCAGAAATTCAAGTGTGGCCACAGGCTGTGGGGTCCGAGGGCTATAATCCCTACTCATGCAGGATATATTGGGTCCTTACAGATTCTAGACACGTCTTGCTTATACTCTCTATTGCTCCTATGTGTCAGCTCTGAAAGGCTTCCACTGTGATGTAGAAATAAATAATGGTTAGTTAAAACAAATACCATAAAAGGACATTTTCAAAATGTAGAGACATTACCTATCTTCAAATCCCCTCACTGCACCTACATTAAAATAATGATCGTGACCCAGATACGGACAGTTTGAACTGTCCTTTTCAAGGCCAGATGTGGTCTGTTATGTAATACAATTCCAGGGTGATTGCTGGGGCTTGGAGTAAGAGAAAAATGAACATATAGCAGATATTGTTCCAAAGAGCAAATGTCATAAACAATGTTATAAAACTCAAAGCCGTGAGCAAAAATTTCTAGCAAACCAAACTTCTACCAAGCCTTGCCTGTGTACAAACTGAAATCTCCAGCAAGGTACAATCCAGCCACAGGCCCCGGAGATTACAATAAAAGGAGAGCCCAAATACACGTCCCTACATCAGCACACTTCACACAGATACAAAAGCGCTGTAACTCCTAAAAGCTTGTTCCTCCAGGCACAACACATTTTGAAGTTAAATGCACCACAGTAGAAATTTTCTCCATATGCTTTTCAAAACGCTATTAAATAAAAACCATCCAAGCAAGTAGTTGTTGATACGTATGTGCATCAGGCTTCCCAGAAATTCTTTGTAAATAGGACATCAATGTTTTCCACTGTGCGCAGGGAGGAAATCTGCTGAGTTCAAGTGCTGTAATCAAATCCACATTGCAAAGTCACAAATAAAGAAACAAAGGACAATCCCTGTCCATTTTTTGTTGTGGATGCATTAATCAGACTCCATTTTCTTCTCTGCTTCGGATCCCCCTGCCCCTGTGCCCGCCCGCCCCGTGCCTCCCTCGGGTAGGTCTCTGCCCCCGCCTCGGTGGCAGCCAGCACTGGGGACAGCACGCTCCCTGCTTGCAGCACTTCATCGTTGGGATTCCAAGCCGAAGGGTTTAGGAGATCAGCGTCTATAGAGAGCAGTGGGGAGGCACATACACCAGGAGGAAGATTTGGAGCATCTCCATTAAGTGTCTAAAAATGTATATGCAGCATACCACTATAGTCACCAAGCTCAGTAGACTCAGGGCTTATTTCTTCTCTTCCAAATCCGTTTTCTCCACGATTAAAATTTTCTTCCTTTTCAGGCATTCTGTAGCAAGAGCAAAAATAGGAACCCAATTACATCTGGCCTCTTTGCAGGGAGGTGAGAGCGGGTGAGGACACAGGGTGCTCTGCCGCGGTTCTGCCTGGGGCACAACCTGTGCAGGAACTTGCAGTCCCCAATGAGAAACTTGACCTTTAGCAACTCGTTTGTTCTTGGAGGCGATGGGAGAGCAACAGGAATCTGCAAGAGCAGCAGAGAAGGCTGAAGCTGAGCTTCCTCTGCTCCCTAATGGGCTAAGGCTCAGGGTGCTTGTATATTATGCACCCTTTGCCTCCACCTCTTAGACTCATTATACAAGAGAGGGTACATAGTCTTTCACAGGGTTATGTATGAAAAGCCTGCTTCAACCCACTTAAAGAGGGACTTGGCAGTAAATAGGGGGCATTTGTAGGCTAACGAAGTACCCCCATGGCTTCAGATGCGCTGTAAGACTAGAAGACAGGTAGAAGAGGTGAGCTGCTGGGTGGCTGGGGCACAGCAGGTACGCGGCTTCTGCCCACCCTTTTTGCCATGCACTTGGTCTCTAGACCCAGCCAGCACCGCAGTGACTGAACAGACAGCTTCAGAGATCTCCGACCTGACTCCTCCTAGGCTGGAGTGCCTGCACAGCTTTAAGGTGTGCAGAAAATCCAGCCTGAGTTTCCAGACCCATTTAGTTCCGCAAACATATTTAATTGTTACAGTATTGCTATGTCTGTGCCAGTTTTTTACCTCAAGCATCACTAACGTTTCTCTTTTTCTAATGTTTACCCTCTAATATAAAGACATCGATCTTATCTGGCTTTATTTAGCAGGTTTTTAGTCCTGTGAGGTAGCTCACTCAAAATAAACTGCTTAACCTTGCTGCCTTCCTCTGCATGCATCCCAGTTTAACAATTAAGAAAATTTAATTTTATCTTTTCTGATTGTGAGCAACGCAGATATTTAAAAGATTTCAGGTGAGGTGTCATCACCGTCCTGTACAAGGGCCTTTATTTCTGCTTTGCTCTGCCAGCACCTCACTGCACTTATGATCATGTTTGTCAGTTTTCAGGACCATGCTCTCTGGTGGGCTACGGTAATCCTGCCATCAATCAGCACGCTTCTGTTAATCATCTTCCTCTGTTGTTTCCTCTTCATTCTTGCTGTTGGTTGAAGCTCCTAATCTCACACTTGCTACTTTTAAGTTCCAGCTCATTTTTATTACTTCACTCCCTCTTTCTGATTCCTTCTGAAAAAAAATTGCGCAATACTGATGATGGCACTTTATCCTCATTAATATCTTCTAGGCACTGCTGTATTATGTAAAATAATAATGTCAAACTCTAAGTCGAATTAAGAGAAACATGAAACTTTTTTTTTTTTCTCAAGAGCTGCATCAATTCAGATAATCTTAGATAGCACATGCCTGCACGCTGCACAGGGGCTCACAGGCTGTGGCAAGCAAGCGTTGCAGAAGCTGGCAGCATGCACAGTCTGCAGCTCATAGGGGATCACTGTACTTTCTTCATGCGATTGATTAAATGATACACTGCATTGTCATCCAGATTGGAGCTTCCTAATATCTGTAATGATGTGCTTTGTTCTAATCTTTGCCTGCATAATAACAGAGGAGCATCTATCTCTAGGCAATAAATGTAAATGGATATGACTCCGAGCCTGACTAAGTTACCAGACTTTCCAATTTCTGGAAGTAAGCTTAGAGAATATAATTTCCCCATCCTGTTCCTGTTCCCAAGGAAAAAAAATAATAAAAAATAAAAAAATCACAGGTGGAGGATTTGTTATTTTAGGGGGCCAGGCCAGCAGGTCTCCCTCTCATCATGCAGCAGAAAGAAGTGATACATGAGTCCTGCAAAGGTGTTTTTTGCGAAGCAGTAGAGGATTCACAGTAGCTGAAATGTATAGTAGCTGAAATATAAATAAAGGAGGAAGGCAAATGTCTGGGGATGAGTCAGCCAGGAGGTGAATGCATTTTCTTCTAAGTGGGCTGTTTTGTAGATCGCACTGAGACTTAGAAACCAAGATAAGGCTGCAGGTTCTGTGCTTGAACTTTTTAGTAATCCGTGATTAATTGCTGGAGGATGACATCAGAAATGTCCCTGCTCTCTCTCTTTTTTTTTTTCTTTTTTTTTTTTTTTTTTTTAAGCTCCTATTTCTTTAGCCTTCTGTTCTCTTGCCTTTTCCCTTTTCTCTTTCATTTTTTCCTCTAATTAATTATAAATAAAAAAGCCTGCACGTTCTGTGCTGTCACTTGCAGTGTATAACTTTTCACCAGCGATGACTTCAGCTGACAGTGTGTTATTTGATGAAGACAGAAGTTCTCCAAGTTCCAACAGTGTATCCGCACTTCTTGTCTTCTGGGTGTTTTTGCAAACATAACTGTGTAAATCACGACTTTTTTTTACATGTTAACATGTATAATTATTTCTGCTTCTATAGCCGATCAGATTAGTATTATTTAGGTCACATCATTGCAAGAAAGCTGTGTGATGTAGCAGTCTCAGCAACAGGAGTGATTTGTATTTTTTCTGACTGGGGAACACCCGAGTGCAATATGCAGCTAAACCACAAGAATCCCCGCAAAAACATCAACAAAACAAATCATGCTTTTTTCCTGGGAGAGCTTCTTTCCCTTTGGGTAGAGCTCTACAGGTAAGATTACTCTTTTTATTTTACTTCATTCCCGCCCCCCCGCTCCGTGCGCCTCACAGCGCTACCCCCGGGCCGGGCTGCCAGCATGGCCGCAGCGCTGCGGCCCCACCAGGGGCAGGCCTCGGGCCGGGGTCCTCCGGCTCCTGAAGCCCCGGGTGTCGGCGACCGGAGCCGGGCGGGCAGCGAGCTCCGAGGGCGACCAGAGGCGGCCCTCAGGGGCTCGGGGCGGGCAGGGGGCCGGCCGCCATCCCGCTGTGCCCCCCCGGGCTCCGAGGCTCCCCGGGGCAGGCCGCAGCCATAGGCGGGAGCGCTGTGGGTCGCCTCAGGGGCCAGCGCGGCCTCCTGTGCTCCAGCGGGGAGGAGCCCTCTGAGCACCTCGTGAAAGTTCACCCTGTGAAATTTAACTAGCCAAAGTGGCGACTTGGTGGGGTAAAGAGAGGGCTCCTCTTTTGAGCTGCCCCCAGGTCCCCTTGGCAAGCCGCCCCGCAGCTCTGAATGCACTTGCTGCGAGGGGGATGCTGAGAGAAGCTGCAAAATGAATTCCTCCTGCGTCCCCTCCACATCTGACCGGGCAGTCCCGGCTGATGTTAACAGAAGTGACAAAACTGGGAAAACTTGGCCCCTGCTAGCCTCAAATAGATCTCGCTGCAGCCTACCTGCTCGATCTGTGTTTATTCCCTCTTAGTATCAGTACTGCTCGCTGGGAATTCGTTGTGAAGTTACAGCCTTAAATGAAAACTACTTCCCAGAGCAGTAAGAAATATTTAAACACTTCAGGCATTCAGTCTGTGATTCAGAGATTTATTTATAAAACTGTTGATTTTGGGACACTAAACCGTTGCATTCAAGCTGCAGAAGTGAGTCATATTTGTGGGAGGTAATTACTACCAGAAAGCACAACTAACTTTTGTAGGTTTCTCTGTAAAATGTCCACTTATGATCTGCAACTACTAAAAATAACATGCCTTGCTAGATTTCAGCATAAGTTATCTTTACAGAATTATGTGGCTTTATATGTTCTGTTTTCCTGACATATGATAAAATAAATGACTAACATGCCTGAGAATTTATTTGGCTGTTTTATGTGGACTGTCCTGACCAGGTAACTTATTCAGCTTCCATGTGTTTCGTGAAGAACCAAAGACTTTGTTGTAACTCTTAAAGAAAAGGCATTTGTCATAGGAACAATGATTGGAGCTAGCACTTACAAATAGCGTTTGTTCGTCTTAAAGGTCTCTGGATTTCGTGTTTTATCCAAAAGCACAATAATCTACTCAGTCTGTTCCGAGTAGGTCTTGAGGGAGTTCCAGATGTCCAACACCTGCAGGAGCTCCTTGCAGGGCAGGAGGGAACTTTCCTTATTATCCCTCAGTCATGACTGAGGAATTTAAGTTTATTTAACTTGTGGTCACTTAGCAGCACTCCCTACCAGCAGATGAGTCAGATGCTATGCCACCTATCCTAAGGGAATTCGCTGCACTTGGATTCAGAAAAAGAATGTCATCCATCCTGGCACACAAAGCTTTGAACAGTTTTTCCCATGCCACTCAGAGAGAACTTAAGGTGCACCCAAGTGGCCTTTCGCTGCGCACAGCGACTAACTCCATTGCTAACTCCAAAAATGGAGGTGCTATCCAGAATTTAAACCGCAGACCTCTGGATATCTCCTTCCTCTCCAAAATTTGCAGTTATAAAAGAGGCTTCTTTAAAAACTGCAATTACCTGTGTCAGTAATTTGCCTGCAGTCAGTAGTGTCTGCTACAGTTCCTGGGGTCTTGTAACCGATCAGAGTTGGGAAGTCTTTATTCTGATTTCAGTGTTCCTCCACAGTGAATCCAGCTCCCACAGACTGCACAGCCTCAGCGAGCTGGTGGTGGTGGTCAGAGGTGGGGAGGATGAGATTTGTGCTTGCTTTTCCATAACTAAAAAGTATTATCTTTTACTATGCCTCTTTGAGCAGCTCCACCTTATCCTAACCACAGTTCTCTGACAAACACTTCATTTATTTTTCCTTATTCTTTTTTTCTCTTTCCTTGGATCACATTTTAATTACCAGCTGGTTCTGGGCAAATGTGCTGCCCTTGGCCATGCCCTTTGGTCATCCTCCCCTTCAGCAGGGTTGGCTGCCAGAGGGACTGTCCGTATTTAAGGGAGCTGCCCGTGCTGCTGGGATGCCACCATGATGTGCCCACTCAGGAGGAGGGCTGGGTGAGTGCCTTGGGACACCCGTGTAGCAGGATGTCAGCTGGTGGCCTGGGAAGGTCAGGACTGACTCTCACCAGCATTGCAGTGGGCTTGGGCACACTCTCCATGAAGTTACGAATGATATCTTTGAGGGGCAGTATCAGTGCTACTTGCTGCAGGAAGGCAAAGTTGTGTTTTCCCTTGAGTTCATTCTACAGGAAAATAGGAATTATGATTTCAGTCTGATTAATGGCCCCTTCGTGCTAGTGTCTTCAGCCAAGGAGCAAGGGTCCCCAAAGCTTCAGATACAGAGATAAAACCTGGTACTAAATCCTTATATAATAAGATACTTGTTGGGCAAAAATCTTCCTAATATCAAAGTCATTTTTGCATGACAGGTTGACGAAAGATGAGCACAAATCTCTTGTGATGGCTTATCTGGTGGCTTTCAAAAGGAAGCAGTTGCATCCTGAAAAAAGTACAGCGATGGCCTTGATATCAGAAAACTATTTCACCAGATAGCCATAAGTTATGGATATTATTTCACAGAGTAGTCACTATCAAAATGGGTTAAGGATAAAGATAAGCAGAGGTGTTTCTCTTTCTACAGACATTTTAGAGCTTTCAATGTCCTTGTTAGATGGTGGCTTAATCCAAATAGTCCTTACAGTAAAATTGGCAGGGCAGTTTAATTGCTGTGGTCCTTTAGTTGGTGTGTTAGGGATTCACTGGTCACGTGTAATAAAGCTAAACACACGTTCACCAACCTTAAACATTGACGTAATTTAACTTTGTCATCTCAAATCATATGTTATTGGTCAATAATTTTGAACCTTCCCAATTTTAGAAGTTAAGCTTTGCCTGTACATCATGCCCGTGTTGAGGAGGGGTCTCTGTTAACTCCCCTGCACCCCTTCCAGCCTCTCAGGCAGGCTTTCAGCAGAGCTGGTGTTCCCCGCTCAGCTTCAGGCTGTGTTGTGAGCTGAAGGGCTTGAGGCAGGCTGCGTGCTTGTTGAAGTTGGTCTGCTTTTCTGCTTTCTGACTCATAACTTCTCCTGCAGCAGCGAGAGTGGTGTATCCTGCTTCACTTGCGCATTGAGATCTGCCCACAGTTGCCTAAAGTCAGGCTCACATACATGCAAAATATAATCCTGGTGGGAACCAGCATTTCCCTGGAAGAGCTCTGTCCCAGCCGCTTCTCATTTAACACTCCTGCACCATGTTTCCTGTTATTTCACAGGAGAGAGAAATACGAGGGAAGAGAATCATATTTAAATCGTTTGTACTTCTTGAGCCTGGTTCGAATCCCATTAAATGACATTTCTACATTACAGTTACTTGGTCTTCTTTGGGATACCACTGTTGCTCCTGAGCAAACAAACAAGGGGCTGGATGCTGCTGTTCCTGCCTTGCTCGGCTCCATCACCAGTGGTGAGGCCACACGCGTTTTTTGGGTGATGTTTGCTGAAATCCCAGCTCCAGCTCCCAGTTGGAGCAGGGGGTGCTAAGCCAGCCTGGTGGAGCACCTGCTGCCACTGATACAACGTGAAGCAGATAAAGGCAGATAAGAGGCATAATCCTTCTGGGAGGGCTTGATTAGCAGCGAGGAGGGCTTGGCTGGAGGGCTTGAAGGAGTTGCCAATTAAATGCTGCTCCAGCTCCCACCCCAGGGGTTAAACCACGCTTCTTCCCTCCCCCTTCCCACACTCCACTATTTTTAAGCAGTTTGTTGGTGCAGCACCCTGTAAGGATGCATGGAAACTGTTCTTTATGGCATTTCCCCCTTTCTAACAAGGACCAACCTGCCCCAGGGCTTTGGGATAAGGGAGTGTTCAGGCCAGTACCTCCCCTTCTTGAGCAGGGCAAGACCAAGACCCTTCTGATGCCAGAGCACCAAGGACTGAGCTGCTGCCCCCTGTGAGCATCCATCCAGCATGGGCTTCCCACTCTGGTCTCCCATGGCCACCCCTCTGCTCTCATCCTCACTGCTCCTCTGACCTCTGTCTTCTCCTACAAGATGCTCACCTGCAGCTCCAGCTCTGTGCAGGATTACCAAGCCCAGACTTTGCACTGGGACTTACTCTGTGCCTTCTTGCCTCTCTGCCCTTCCTGCTTTGTTGAGGACCCTACCTTGTAGCTTTTTCTGAGACACTTTTTTTCTCCTTGACATGGAGAAGTGTGAGAAAGGCTGCCTGCAAGACAGAATGGTGACTGCGTTTTGGTGTGGAGCTGGAGTCCTGCAGTTTCTCCTTTAAGTGTTTGTAAGGGCAGTCAGAAGCATTTCCAAGCCAACCACTTCCAGTGATTCACCTTCAGGGGACCTAGAATTGTGGTGGCGACTACAGAGATAAAGCCTGGTCGTGGATTACTGATAAAAAGAAAGAAATTTTAGTAAAACAAGTTAACTGCTAGCTGACAATTTGTTTGCCAAGTTTTAGTCCCGTCGAGCTGAAGTGGCCAAGTTCTTAATGCCAACAATTGAGGTTTGTAAAGGAAATACCAAATCAACCTTGGCGGAAAAAGAGGCAGACATTAAATTACAGAGCAAAGAATGCATTTGCTTTGTAGGTGGAGAAATAAACAAGTTACTAAAAGGAAAATAAGTTTGACTTTTCCAGTTTGATTGTTTGATTCCTGTCCCTAAGCAAAAAGAGGCCAAAGAGGAAAAGTGCAACATTTATCAGTAAATGTTGAGCTCGAGCAAACGCTCGGCAAGCTGTGCAGAATTGTTGGCAAGGGGAGCAGGGAAGGGGACTGATACAGGGAAGTGCTGCAGAACTGCTCAGAAACTGTTGCTCTGTCTCATCATGTAAAGATTTAAAAAGAGACCAGACCACAAAGTCCTGACTGTTTTTTTTTTTTTTTTTTTTTTTTTTTTTTTTTTTTTTTCAGCAAGTGCCAAAAAGACACATTCTTTAATGGATGCAATAGTTTTTCTTGGATACAATGCCGACAATATACACTTGTCATTGGACGTATTTGTGTAATTTTCCCTCTATAATGTGTAGCAGTGTGCCCCTGAATTCCTGCAGCAGCAGAAGACCGGCTGAATTCACCGTAAAGGCAACATCCATCCAAGAGGCATTCCACTGGAGCTGCAGAAACTATTCACCGTGTGGGGACTGCCAAGGCACACTGGAACGAGGATATCAAAATCTTCTCCTGTAATATTATTTCAGTCATTTCAGTTTTATAAAGGACAAAAGAAAACATTACACATTGCATGGCTAGGCTTATTTGTCTGCCCTACAAGGCCGAACGTGACAGCTGTGCCTGAAAATCCACTTCTCAGAATTAGCAGGTTTATTTTGTACTGCAGCTTGCCAAAGCCTGATTTCCAAACCCAGTGATGGACATCAGAAAGAAGACGGTAGAGAAACGCCAAAGCACAGGTGCTGGTTCTTGTACAGGAGCAACCTAGAGCTAACTTGGCCAAGCAAATCCTGCACCAGTTACATCCACAATGCCCGTGTTGTAGGTGTAGATACTGGCGGAGACTGGCAGGCAGCGGCCACCCTTTCCAGACTGCTTTGTGCATATTACCTGTGAGTGAATGTCGTCCTGTCTCTAACTTGCTAGCTCAATGCAATGCTCTCCTCTTCAATTAAGCAGATGTCATGCCACAGCAGAGTACGTCTGGGGTTTCTGCTGTAAATTATTCAAATCTGAAAAAGAAACAGTCCCAGCTAATATTTGGGTACTCAATCACATACAGCAGGCACCTAT